CCTTCAAGAGGATCAGTCATATCTTCATTCTGATACTGTCTGGAGTTCTGTGCACGAGAGACTGGAGCAGCATTGACTCTAGATGAGCTTCTTGGGGTAGGTGTCCCTCTTTTCAGCTCATGTATCCGGGCTGCTAAGGAGGAGGTGGGTTTTCCATCCCACTTCCTCATGTCTTCTCCATGCTCCTGAAGGAAAAACCAGAGGTTACCTTGTGGAGTGTGTCCTCTCTCCCTGCCTGAGGAACGCTGGCTCCTAATGTCAGAAACTCTTGTTGGTTCTGGAGAGATCTGGTAGTTGTTTTCCTTAAGTTCTTTTTTTAGTTTCTGATGGCCCTCTTCAGTCAAGCTCTGGACTTGCTCCACCAGCCTTGTTTCCACGGATGAGACATGGGTACGAAATGGGGCTGTGACAGTGTCCTCATAATTTCTTAGTTTATTGGCCAAGACACCTACCATGTCCTCACCTTCCCTCCACTGCAGCATTGCCAGGTAACGGGAATACATCTCTGGTCCAAGCTGTGCGAATCTCAACCACATCTGTGACGTGCACTGGACACAGTCTGGGCTCTTAGGAAATCTCTCATCTTCTGAGAAAATGATCTCCAGCACGGCCAATTCCCTCAGGCATCAGATACCTTCTTCTACTGTGCTCCATTTTCCTTGGTGCACCTGGAGATCTTCTTTACAAAGGTATCTGTCCTTCACACTTGTCAGCAGTTGCTGCCAGAGGCTGAGAGTTTCTTGGGTTCTCCCAATCCCCTGGTCAATGACCACATCCCGGGACAGAGATCCCAGTTGCCTGGCCTCACATCCATCCAGAATGGTGTCATTGGCTGCAGCGTCCCAGATGCGGAGCAGCCAGGTCAAGATGGACTCATTTGTCTGGCGGGTGAATTCCCTCCGCAGGCCACGCAGCTCACCCAGGGATAGAGAGTGAGTGATGATCTCTGGCTCTGTCACTTCTGCTGGGTGTGAAGGTCCTGCCACGTCCTCGTCAGTCACTATGTGGACTGATTTGCTCTTTGATTTCTTCTTCTGAACGGGGGCAACTGCTACGGGTCTAGGCTGTTCTGGTGCAGTGATGGTTTGTGTGGAGATGCTGATGGCACTTCTGGCTTTTTCCTCCTCTGTGGCAGTCTGCGTAGACACAGACACTGTTGCTTTGTGTTTGGTTCTTCTCCTCTTTGTGACATTCTGTGCAGACGTGGACAAAGTTGATTTGTTTCTTTTTTCCTCTTCCTCAAGAATACGCTGCAGTACACCATGTAGTGTTTTGTTTCTAAGCATGTTGTAGGCTGTGCAGAGGAGACAAAGCAGAACTAACAACAGTATTATGCTGTCCTTGGCATCCAGTGGGAACTCAACATTTCCAAAAACTACTGTATCAGGCTGGAAAGATTGGAAAAAAAAAAATCATTCTTTACCCCTCCCCCCAAGGGCTGTGTGTGATTGTAAAAACCCCGGATGTAGCAACCTAGACTAGGACAAGCAAACAAAGTCGAGTATATATTCCGAATTATGTTCATTGCCTCAGAGGTTATCATGCAGTAGACATAATAGGCCAATAAAGCAAGTTTTATACCATATCCTGGTCTACACAGGAGCATTACAGCTGGCAGACAGTTCCCCATGTGCGGAAAAATACAGAGAGCAAGATATAAAACCCATGTAAGCATGTTGAGAATCATGGCGAACACAAAATTGTAATACTGACTTTTCTCAGCACCCTTCATGCCCCACGTTGGGCACCAATAAATGTGTTAGTTTGAACGTAAAACCAGTGAGAGACTCCAAGTCAGTAATACAATTTAACAGGAGAAAAGAGAAAAAAAATAAAATACATGCAATAATATAAAAGAAAAACCACCGACAAAGTCAGAAATACAACCTGACATCCTGTCAGTCAGGGTGTTGGTAGCATTTTGGTATAAATGGTGGCTGCAGTCCTCCTGGATGACAGATGTGGTTCAGTTGAAGCAGTGCTCCTGTAGAAGGTGCAGTTTTCCTCTGAAGATCCAGCGATGATGTGGAAAAGGTCCAACTTTCCTCTGGGATCCAGTGGAAAGGGCTGCCTTCGTGTCCCAAACCCCAGTTTTTTATCTAGGTGGGAAAGGCTTGGCTCCTGCCCCTGGTTGGGGCATCTCCCAATGGGGTGATGTAATCTTATCAGTCACACAATAGGACTTAATGGCCCATTAACAGAAGATATCTTCTGGAGGAAGGATGGGTTGTGAAAAGATAACGATCACCACCCCTCCCACATTTCAACAGATGGTGATAGAATACACATTTTTGCACTGTACCCCAGGACAGACAAATAATATTATGCATTAAAAAATGTTACTCCAAGCTAAAATGTCTGCATGAACTTGGGAGCAACTTCCACGTCAAGAATTAGCACATTTAAAGAGGTCCTTTTGTCAGTTTGTTGCCAAATGGTATCCAAGCAGTTAATTTTACTCTAACAAATATATTTTGCAACACTGGTTACTGGATTCTGATGATAAAGTGCTCACTCCATTAACTTACCCACACTTCACTGAAGAAATATATGAAATAATTCTCTAAAACATACAGAAAAGTGTGAATAAAAAATGAGGCTGAGAAAGTAAGGAGCCTGCACTTTTCCAAGTCATTATTAAAATTGTTCATTGCATTTCCTTAAAAATGAATGGCAAGCTAAATTAAGTCAAACTTACCATTCTTTGGAGCTGGCTAGTTTGCAGCCTTCCTCGTTCACCCAGATTAGTTTTCCATACAATGTCTAGTTTGCCAATTACTGTTACACCTTTTATTACTCCAGCTTTCTCTGCAAATTCTTGTTTTGGTTTTAGACAGTATAAGTATTGACGTGTATCCATAGGTTGTAAGTAAGTCCTTGCACCAAAAGTAGACTCACTGAAAGGAAAAAAAACACTAGATCTTAATTTAAACATCTGTTCTGAAGAAGATTAACCACCTAACCTTTTTTCTCCCCATGTCCCACCAGTCTTACTATATGTGTACACAAAATTTGATAATGGTAAAACATATAGTGTATTTTTTGTTTCCACAACAGAAAACAGCTCTAGAGTTTATGTAGCACCAAGGACCATGGAAAAAGAAAAGAACCTGTTCTTCTCAGCCAAAAAAATTAAGAAAGAAATCCACTCTCCTACATTATAATTAATTATCTGGCATCTTAGCATTTAAACAAAAATGCTGGTAATTGTTCTTCTGCTATTTGTTTTCCCTCACAGTAAATCTCAATGTCATGAAACTAAGATTCCTGTTCAGGAGAAAAAACACTACAGTGGATGCAAACACTTGGTAAGAACAAAGCTTCATTATCCTGCAGGTGAATCCTTCAACAGGCAAGGAGAAGACACAATTTTCACTTCAGCCCCTACTGCTGAAGCACTCAACCATCACCTCCAAAAACCCAAGCAACAGCAAAGGACAAACAGCCAAAGTTAACTTCAGAAGCTCTTGTAGCCACTGTAGTCAGTTATTCTGGTATGAAGTGTTTAACTAAATTAAATTAAATTAATTTCAGCGTGATAAATTTTTATATTCTAGGACTCCATGAGAGTGTACCATTGATCCACCTTGGCTGGTGCCTTGCTATATCATGATTAGAACAAGTGACAACAGTAGGCAGTTTACTGATAGGAAGCAAGGATTAGTCAGATGAGTCCTGTAAGGCTAAGTATGTACACAGAGATCAGATCAAAACCAGATCCGTGTTAAATTTTATACAGGGGACACTGAAATAATAATATGTTTTTATGTTATCATGTCATCATTGTTACAAATTATTTGAGGATTAGGCTGGATATTTCTCTATTTGGTAGAATTATAGATTTTTAAGAATAGTCTCTATTAAAAAAAACTTCTAAACAGATTTTCCAGTTGAATACATAATAGGAATTTGATCTTTTTGCTCAAGCAAAGACATACAATCCTTCCATTATAGACAAATGACTAACTAATACTTGTATCTCATGAAATATTAATACAAAGCATTTCAAAGTCAAATGCCCTGAATGCGAACATACCTTTCCCCTGCTGTGTCAACTGTGTTCAGTTCTGCAACATTGTACATCATTGACGGCTCTAAAGAAACCTTCTCCATAAACATTGGAGAGGTAGTGATATTCTGAATTTGAGCTTCCAGAAACACTTCATCTGTCTGAAAAAAATCAAAATTTCAAGTTCATGAAAATATGATTAGTGTTATTAAAAAGAGTAGGCAGTCCTATTGTTAAAAAAAGTCACACATGTTTAGTTCATGCCTGCAAATCAAATTAATTAATGCAAGAAAAAACCTTAATCCCAGTAAAAACAGGAGCAAAAGTGTTAGTCAACAGGTATCTTGCCAAACAATGGATGTGGGATAATTTTGCTATGTTCTAGCTATTGCTTATTTGTATTGCATTAAATCACCACTTCCCAAGACTCTCATCAACTTAATAGCAACTCAAGCTTTTATTCAAATTATTTTAAAAATTGAATAAATGGTAAGGAATTGCAGTGCACAAGAACATGCCATGCCAGATCACTGGTGCATCAAGCTGTGTAAAAAAATGAAGTAAATGTGCGTGTTTTTCTTTAACTGAAGTAAAATAGTTCGGGTATATGCTCTGAGCTTTTATTATTAAATACTAGCTAAAAATGCAAAATCTAGCTCCCTCTCTCACTCAGCTGCATCATGCCAAAGGTTATCAATGTGGTATGCATCCCACAATTTAACTGGTGCTCTACCTTCAGAACATCTGAAGCTAATGCTCCGAGATGGTATCAAAGGACCAATTCTAGCACATAAATGAAAGCTATAGACTGTTAAACTTCAGAAGATGGAACCAGAGAAGTTTTTGCCTCACTTCTTTTGTGGAATTGCAGACCAGTGAAGTCACTTTGAATGTCGAAAAATCTCAGGATAGAATAATTATGGAAGACTCAGTTTATTAGAGATATGAGCCCCCAGAAAAGTAAAAACCAGAATTAAAGACACGTCCGTTAAAAAGAAGAGGTTACCAAATTTGCATTTACAAGAGTCACTGATTCAGGCCATTGGATTTAGCGATTCTTGTAGGTCCCTTCCAACTGAAATAGTCTATTCTACGGATTCAGATTGAAGCAGTTTGAGTGCTTTGTTATGATAAATTTTAAGAAAGTACTTTGGTGGAGAAAGCAGAACAAAACTTAAGAGTTTCTTTTTGATCAGTGTTAATAAATGATTCTTTATACAAATGGAGTCCTGCTTGTAAATTACAAAATAAAAGTGGGACAAAATAGCCAAAATATGTTTAGTCTCAAAAAATTGTGTTAGAAAGTGAAATACAGAATGATTGTGTAACTTTTTGTATTGCCTTACAAACAGGTTGAATACAAAGCAGCATCTCTACAGTAATGAAACTGTGCAACCTCAATGGGTTACAGAGACACTTCATGCTTGCAGGAACTAGAAATAACCCCAACTAAAGTATGGTTCTCAGAATCATTACTACTATCACCTTACTGTCACTTAAATTGATACAATTTATATCCCATAAATCCATTGCTCAAAGTGTCCATTTACCCAAATTTTAGTAGTTTTCAAAACAGCAACCATAGGCAGAAGTTTAAAAAAGCTAATTTGAAAGGGAATAGAATAAACAAGCAGCATAATGAAAAAGCAAGTTAGTTTTGTGTTATTCTTAATTGTTTTTAGTATTGCATGTTTTTAAAAAAAAACAACTTCTCAAAATTATTTTTATACAAGGCACGCCTTAAAGTGAAATCAGACTGCAGAAGTAACATAGTCATTCAATCAACTGTTACATGCAGTTAAAATTGTGAAGTGCAGTTCCAGCTTGCCAAAGGAAAGAAGAACATCCAACTGCTGCTCTCTCCTCAAACCCACTGTCTCCACCAACCAGATGTGAAAAGTTCTGTCACAGCTTACACAAGCAGTGCTGTAGTGAAATCTACATTTCCATGGGTCAAAAGCAGAAAAAATTTAGAAGGAAATAAATTCTCTTTTCGAATAATAGATCTAATAAAATTTTGGCGAGGTATTTTATAGGAGGACCCCCACAAGGATCTGTAGCTATCAAGTTCTAGTTTCAACAATGGGTATTAAAGAAAGAGCTAACCATTTAAATGATTAGCTGCACATAAAAAGACAGAACAAACATTGCTTTTCCATTATGTTTGTAAAGAATGTCAATAATAAGCACAGAGACAGTTAAGCAATTAAAAAGCATACATATTTATAAAAAATAAATAAAAATTACCACAGAACTGAGGTCACTCTAATGGGAAAATAAAAAAAAACACATTAGAGAAATTAGGGTTAAATGTTAAAGAAAAAAGGAGGCTAACTTCCAAACAAAATGCATTTCTGCATTTTTTTGCACCGTTTAAACAAGATAGCATTAGTAAGACAGAAACATAAATAAAAATGGATGCAAACAAAGATGACAACTACATTTCTAATAACTTATAGCTAGTATGGTTACATGGTTTACTAGCTTTGCTTCAGAATCAATCCAAAGTAGAGCTCAAGGCACACAAGTCACAGACAAGATATGGTAGAACAAACTGACTCAAAAAAAAAAAAGAGTTAGTTTTTGAGTAAGTTTAAAGTTTGTCCTGAATTTCAATCCATGCAATGAGTTGTATATGAAATGGAAAAACAGTCCTTGTCACCTTATAGATAATTTGAAGTATCCTCATATTTAATGTCTCAAAAATAATGTGGTAATGTGTCCTAGCAAAGTGACCATGTTGCAAGTTGTAACAAAATTTGGTATAGTATCAAGAAAACTCTTTTTTGAATATTCATCAATCCAAAGACCCAACTTTAATTGCAAAAGTTGTTGTCTACCTCCCTGTGCATGCTTGCAGAAACAGAACCTTTTACAGAGCCTTTTTTTCAAGACACATTAAAGTCAGTGAGAGAGTAATTCAGTCCCAGGATTGCAGCAGGTATGGGCAACAGGGCATGTGTTCTATGCATAAATTTCAGTGATCAACTCCATTTGGGTGCTACTGCAATATAAGCAATAAGCAACTAGATTAGGGTTCAGCATAATTCCTTGTTTTAGAAGAAATTAAATTATGCATTATCATTGGAATATTAATAGAAAATAATTTTAGTAACAGGCATTATGAATAGACAGCATCACATCTGTAATCCTAATGATAACAGTTTAACTGGTTAGTCAACCTTTAGAGATCTTTAACTAATAACTGACACATACCATTTTTTTCTCCCCTGCTCTCAAGGATAATAGTCAGGAGGAATTTCTCAGTGCTTTCACAGTAGTATCATACTCAACAGCTAACCAAAGACTTATTTCTAGGTTTTTAGAAGTTAATTGAATTCGCTGGTCACAAGACATAGCAACACTGTATATACTTTCAGAAATAAGAGAGGAGTGCTACTATACCAGTTTGCTAGGCAAATGGAAATTGCTCACTTAATATCATCCAAAATATTAAAAAAAAAAATTCATTAAATGGAATGGGTAAAATGGTAATGGGAGCTGCATAAATTCATTAACAGGAAGAACAAAAGGCATCAAAGAGCCTTTTAAAAACTCTACAGAAGAAAAAAAAAAAAGCACAAAAAACCCCCCAAAACTCAAACTTACATCTACAGCTCAAACACCAAAGGTTCTCATAGATTTTTACCATGAAGAATTGGTGGCTAATTGAGAGTTAAGTAAGACCCTTATCAAGACCAGTCAGTATAACAACTATGAACACAAAAAAAAGAATATTTTTTATCCATGTAAAAGTTTGTCCAGAATTATGTTAGAGGTGCTTCATCACAAACTTTACACATGAAGTATAAAGAGACAGCAACATTTAAGATACTTGTCTCTCTTTTCCCTTTACACACTTTACAGCTGAAACAATAATATAATCTGCAGACTAAATAAGAGATTCTTTTTGCTCCCAGAGAAATGACCTAATTTCTTAGAATTATTTTTGTTCTTAAATCACAGCAGACGACATTTCCAGACATTCCCACTTATACATAGTAGCAGCTCCCTAAAGGGCTCAGCTAGTGCTATATGTTTATGCTCCAATCCTGCTCAGGTACCTCACACCTGGTCAATGTATGGTTTGAAGCCTATGGTCTACAGATACATACCAAATTCTTCCCATAAACAGACAAAGGCAAACAAGTAAGTCCAAATAAATATGTAAGGCATATATAAGGTCACTTAGTTTAGAAGCACTGTGTTTGTAACTGCCACAAACCTAAAACTTAAATTACTGAACTGAAGGGTCCTAGTCACATAGGAAAAATTTAAATTTAAGTAATTTAAATTTTCTCCACTCTGATAAATTGTCATCTCCTTTATGAACAATTGATCTCCCTTACAGGAATTACTCTTCAGCGTAAACATACAAGAAATTAATGAAAGTATTTGAGTTCATGAGAAACTATAAAAATATATGCCTATAATATATGCACATGAATATATGCAAAATTGTTAGTCAATTACATTAAGGTCCTGACATCTCTTTTACCCCTTCATCAAAAGCCTATCTATTTTTAAAATATACAACATCTATCTACCACTGCTTTTCATTAGAATTGATCACTTTTCTCAGAAAGGTGTACTTACAAAGCACTTTGAATTTAATCTACGTAACAAGCCCAGCACACCAAAACAAACCTGAATACACACAGTTCTCACCTCTGCATTGTAGAATTTGGTTTTCACATCTAGTGGTTTAAGAACCTGAATGAAATAGAAAAAAAGACAGATGGACAATTGGTTTTTCAGACAACTTCAGCATAGACTGTTTTGAAGTGCTAAGGTCTTCTACTAAAAGAGTTCTTTTTCTTTCTAATCTTACACATAGCAGGTGCATGACAAAATCATCTCAAGAGTACATCCTCACCACTTACTTGTGCACGCTTGACTGCTTTCCTACTAAGCAGCCTCCTCATATTGAAAACAAGTTATTCTCCACCTAAGCACTGGCTTCTTACGAAACTGCCCAAATCCAGTGCTCTAAGTAGATCTCTGTGTGTTTAAAATAACACTATCATCCTGGGTCCTGCAGTGGTCTGCATTTGCTTTCAACTGTGAGCAAGACCATCTAACATTTACAAGTCCTTCAGAGTTTTGGAACAAAAGTTTCTGAGGGCTTCTCTAAACATAAATGAAATAGAACCATGTGTTTAGCTTTATTAGCCTTCACTTCCTTCTTGAATATGCAACTGTTTCAAGAAATTAAAGAAAATCGTAATACATAAAATAATTAATACATCCTTATTAATCTCACGAGTTTCAATCAGCAAAAGAAGGCAACTCGATTATATAAAATATGATTATAAAGTGTTGATTCTTAATGCTTGAATTTTGTGCATAAAGCCAAAGCAGTTAACACATTCAAATGTGAAACATTTATAAAGTGATGCAACTGCAAGAAATAATCTTCTATCATACTTATAAGGAAACAATTTAAATTCTTTTTCTGAAGACACTTATTTCCCATTACACATTTCCTCTAATGTTCCAAGCTGTCAACAAATTTTTTAGCACTGAAGAATTCAAGATCAAAAAGTTGTCTTCACAGAGCTTTCTGCATTTTAAAAGGCATAAAATCCAAATCTTTCAGGTATTCATAAATGTCTCTCTATTAAAAAACAAAATTAAAAAATTTAATTTAGGTCTTTGTTGGTTGAGAGGGGATTTTTTTCTGTCATAAATATTCCAACATACTGAATTTTTTCTGTCTTCTGTTAAACAGTCTTTCCATTCATTGCAGTAAATTTCAATTGGCATTCCAGTAAAATACAAAAGATTATTGTGAAGTTCACAAACCACCCAAACCTAGAAAGAATCATTCCTTCTCCATGAAAACATAGTGCTGTTAATTACTTAGAGAAAGCTTTGGAATAGAAAAGCACTGTCAATCAGTATAAAACTACATGTAATGGTTTAAAAAAGAAACTTGATTCAAACCAATTAACACCAGTTCAACTTAAAAGATGCTAGAAAATGTAACTGAAAAAATCTAAGAATCTGTAAAAGAGTATTCTTTTATTATAAAATAGCTAGTGACATCTCAATTACTAGCAACCATGAATTCTCACTGTAATGACATAGTTCAATTTTCTGTAACACTTCTTGCTTGTTCTCAGGTTTCCTACTGGTGTCTCCAAGTCAAATTTAAAAACTAACAGACAAAATGGTCAGTGCAATGCCTTTCTCATAATGAATCAGAGAACATTTCTAGAAGGTGCGGAAGTGTCTGTATACTTATGCTTCCTTCTTTGAATGCATGGCTTCACATTTGACAGATAGATGGCTTCAACTCTTTTGACAATTCAGTTGCTTATGCTGAGTTCAGTTAAAAACCATGGCAATTACATCATGCATGCAGAACCCTCAGGAAAGTGCACAAATAAGTTTGCATACAAAATCTAAAGGAGACAAATCAGTATCTTGTACAAAGCTCGGACAAGAACAACATTAGGTAACAGAGGAAAGATGAGCTCTGAGGCTTGCACATGCATGTGTAAGCAATCAGAGAAAGCCTAGAGGGGACAGAGAAACAGAACACTGAACAGAGGAAAAGAGTGGAGAAATGGAAAGGGAAGCAGTTTCATAAGGAGAGCAAGACAAAGCACACAAAGATGAAAATTAACTTCACTAAAGATGAAGAAATTCTACAGAGATGCTAGTTTCAGAGGGAGGGTAACACAAAAATTTATATGGAACCATTTTCCCTAGGATTGTCAGGAAGCACCTTTGACTAATCAATACGTGGCATTTCAAGGCCCACTAACAGTACTTAAGTCTTAACAGTACTCAAGAGTACTAACAGCACTCAAATGTTCTTCTAATGCATGAAAATCTAACCTTCTAAAGACCGAAGATTTTTTTTTCTGAAGTATCTAGATAGAATACTAGAAAACAGCAAAATGCAATCACCCCATAGTATCGTAGAATATCCTGGTTAGGAAGATAAGCACAAGGGCCATCAAATCCAGCCTCCAGGAGTATGTGTCTGGGAGCATTGTCCAAATGCTTCATGAAAACTTTGTCAGGCTTTGTGCTGTGACCACTTCCCTGGGGAGCCTGTTCTGGTGTCCAACAAACCTCTGGGTGAAGAAACTTCTCCGAGTATCCAAATCAAACCTCCCCTGAAACAGCTTTAGAATGAACTATATAATGCTGCTATATTATACTCTGTCAGAGTATCTAAAAATATATTCAGTAATGCACGCCATGTAATCTTCCATTCCATGAAGATTAGTCCGCCAATATCCAAGTCTCAATATATTTCTCCAAAAAATTAAACATCCATGAAATACACAACAGTCTCTTTCTTGCCAGAATCAGTCTCCAGATTAGTTTCTTGCTTTCCTCAGTAATTCTTATCTCAAATCTTGAAATTTATGTAATGGAAGAAAAGGTTTCAATTCTGTCAATTACTTCTCTCGGTATGAGATATAATACATTAGACTTCTTTACTTAAATTCCTTTAAAAACGGAACTATTTAATTCCAGTTTAATAAGGTTACAAACACCAAAAGAAAAATCAGAATTTTACAATATAAGGTCAGTGGTCGAATGTATCAAAGTCAGAATGATCAACACTTGTTCTGCTTAAAAATAGTCATAAAGCTGTCTACTATAAAAAGGGACTTTTTAAGAGTAGATTTTTTTTCTCAATAAATTAGTAAAAATTATTGGATGCAATATTTATTAGTTCTGAGATGTTTTAACTGTGTGGTAATTAGAAAACAGTTCGTGTGAAGTTTGAAGCAGTGGCTTTTAATGGTTCACTTTTAAAAGGGAATGGACTTTTGGTACATAGAAGTGCTTATGAAGTATCAGATGTTTTAAAATGCATTTTCCAGACTCACACACTTATTAAAAGTAGAGTAGAATATTACATGAAATACCTGAAATTTGAAGAACTTTCTGAAGTACATTTTCTCTCCAGTCTGTGTAGTATAACTTACTGCACAAACTAAGCTGAAAAAAACAAATTAAAAAAAAGTTGTGTTACTTTCAATCTTGTGCTGTATCAAAAGCATGTACCGTAGTTTCATTTAAGCTTATTTAATAACAGAAAAAGTTAAAATTTTACATGTGTGTTCCTATCTCCTTTACTTCATGATGGATCACGTCATCAATGCAACAGTCAGGTTTAAGTTCTGCCACTGCAGCACTAGAAGCTGAAAGGTTCAAACGCTGAGAACTTGTTTGAAGATCAGCCTGGGGACAGAACAACAAAGCATCAGCAGAACTTCAGCTGTTAAAAACACCCTAAAGAAATGTAACTTATGTTATAAAGTACTAGGTTTCACTGAGTATTTTGTACCATTTCGTACATGCTTTCACACATATTGCAAGAGCTCAGCTGGTCAGAACATGGGGCTCACAACACCAAGGTGGTAGGTTTGATCCTTTTGTGGGCTACTGTCTTAAGAGTTGGACTTAATTATTCTTGTGGGTCCCTTCCAACTCAGAATATTTTGTGATATTCTTGACATATATTAAGATGATGAGATACTTACAAAGCTAAATGCAAGTTCTAAAACATATAAATAGTTCAGTCTTTTACCATACAGCTTACAAAATCTCTATTTACTTTTTAATTGAGTTCCACAATGACTTCTGAAATTTCTACTCTCAGTGTTTTGTTTGTTCAGTAAACACAAAACTTCAATTCTCTATAAAATAATTCATACAATATACAGATCAGGGTATGCTTCACAGGGAATTGGAAGACCTCCATGAAAGTGAAGGTAAGTCAATGTAACTCCATTTTTTTAGCTGTGGAAATTTTGCTACACCAATTCTTCAGAGAAGTTTTAAATAGAAGGGTGCATGTCCAAAGAAAGTCAATGGAGGTGGAGCTGTTTAGTCAGTTGGAAAAAGAGAAACAGTCTCAAGTTGCACCAGGTGAGGTTCAGATTGGATAGCAGGAACAAGTTCTTCACCAAAAGGGTTTTCAAGCATTGAATAGGTTACCTAGGGAAGTGGCTGAGCCACCATCCCTGCGGGGGACTGTGTAGATGTGGAACTTAGGGCCGTGGTTTAGCGGTGGACTTGGCAGTGAGGGGTTAACAGCTGCACTTGGTGACCTCAGAGGTCTTTTCCAACCTAAACGCTATGATTCTGTAATAAATCAATTTTTTGACACAATCCTAGTTTTTGATTTTAATCTCTGAAGATTTCTATAATGATTTCTATTTTTATGTCTTACTCTTTCCAATTTGCAGATACATTTTCTGGATTGAAAAGAGTGACATATATTTCCTAAAGTCTATGTATTAATGTTAGACATACAATATATTGTCAGAAAACGCAATAATTGTATTTTATTTTTTTATAGATCTTTTATAAGTGGATTTCTCTTCACATACCTTCACCAGTATGTCCTTGACAACTTGATTGCTATCATTGTGCACACTAATATAACTGGAAAATGTCTCTCCCAGAAATATATTTCTGTATTTCAGGGGAAAAAAAAATTTAGTAACAGTTATTAAAAACCAGAACATTTCACTGAAACACTTTTAAGTTCACACACATGCACTTTTGCCAGATCAAACCCTAGAAGAAAATTGGCATTTGCACACCCATACTCAGAAGTCATCCTTCTAAGGCAAACAGTTTTAAAAAGCAACATATCAGAATTTTTTCTACTAAAAGTCTGACACAAATAAGATGGCCTTCAGTACCCACAAAAACCACAGTAGTAAACTCTGTTAGTATAATGTGGTTTATAGTAGTGCACTACCTTAGAAAGTCACCCACAGCTGCAGATCTCTCTCAACTTTCAATCCTTATTAGGTTCAGGCAGGCTACAGACAAGAAACATCAGGCAGCATACAAGTATGTATTTATAAATCAAGCCACATATTATTTTTAAAATTACTGAATATCCCGTTGCAGAACAATGGTATTCAAATAGAAAAAGAAGTATGAATCTTAAATCAAATGAAGCCTAAACCTGACGTATTATAGTTACAATCATTTATTCTTACCCAAAATTTTGAGGCAAAGTCAGCATTTCTCCTAACATCAACGTTTCAGCACCCTTTACAGTAGAAGGATCATCTTTCATTAGCTGGTTAAATAGATTACCTGCAAAAATATCAAGTTGCTATAAATCAAATATTTGCTAAGTCCAAAGGTTTGTCTACATTTAAGTTAGACACTTAATCACTTACTCAGATGTAGTTTATTTTAGATATATTTAGATATATTTAGATATATTTTTTCCAATAAATTTGTTTGGGGATGAAATATATATCCACAGGCCTGCCTATAAGTTATAACAGCTTCAAGATACTTGTGTCCAATAATTTACTCACTATATACATACTCAAGGGCACAATCCAAAAGGCATTGCTCAAATTAGCACTGAATTTTGAGAGAAATTCTTTCCATCTAAACCACATTACATAACAGAACTAATCAACCTCACTTACTTTCTTCCCCTGTTTACTTTATTTTTCCACACAACCCTCCTTCCTGAATCTTTCCTCTGACTGTCTTAATACTTGACTTCTAGACTTCAACTATATCTGGGAGACAACCCAGGGATTTCCAATTTATGATGGCACACCAAGCATAACACAACTCAAAACCAGTGATTCTTGCAAGATTGTTTTTCCACAGAACATTGGTTCTAACCACCACGGCCTCTACTCCAAATAATAATAATAAAAAATAGTAATGCAAATCTTTCTCCACTTACACATTTCCCTCATAGAACTGCCTCTCACTGTGTATGTCAGTTTTTCAAACTTTGAGGTCATGTGTCTGAGTATCATCACCAATCTCTCAAAGATTTAAGTCAGGAGCTGTAGAGTGCACCTTGATACTTTCCTTCAGCTATTACCAAATCTAAAACGTATTGCTGTTTTAAAGTTAGATTAGAGTCTATGGGAGGTCATGACTCCTCTAACGTCTAAGTGTTAGATGGTCACACTGCTTAAACTTGGTAAAACATACATAATAATCAATCAGTAGAGAAGACTTACCTGGCAAATCTCTTTCTTCACAAGTCACCGGAATATTAGTGAATAAGGTAGGTTTGGTTAGCCTCATCACTGCAAAAATAAATTTAAAAAAAAAATCAGTAAATCGAACAACTATTTTTAATATTGTTTTTCAGAATGCCTTGCTCTTCTTCCACAAAAAAACCACCCAAAAATGAAACAAACAAACAAACAAAAAAACCTCAATAAAAAACATCCAACAAACCACAAGCACCAAATAAATCTCAGCCTGAAAAAGGATCACATGGCCTTTCACAATATAAAAAAAAAATCTCCCTGCTATTCTAAGATCCAAAACCACTGGTAATGGCATTGCTCCCTCTTTTATTCCTGGTGAACTACCCTACTAATCTACTGCTTTTCAATTTGCTAAAGGTCTTACACCTGCTACAGCGTTAAGTGCTCTGTGGTCTTCAGAAGTGTATCCGTTTCATCTGTTTGTGGACTTTTCTAGGTTAAGTGCCTGTCCTGTGACCCTTGTTGCCCTAGAATGGGGCATGATGACTTGTATGGACTCTTTCAGTCAAACACCAGTCTATAAGAAACTGCATTTATATCTTAACCTGTAACACTTACACAAGGTAGAGTTACAAGATTAAAAGCCTACATTATTTATACCACTTTTTTATACTTTTTCTCTAAGTCACAAACTTTAAACTCAAACCAGTAAAACCAACACAAAATCCTCATGAAAATACTTACAACAAAGCTATTTTATTTATACTGACAAAATAAAAATCATTGAGATTTTGCAATTAAAAAACCCCTACTTCAAGTAAGTGGTATTTTCAAAGGCTATTTTAACTCACACTCAAAATGATATTATTTTCAGTTATATGACAGACTTAAGGCACTACTTCTTAAAATAATTTCCTCCTCTTCAAATTAACCAAAGGCCCTAACTTGGACATAGCTTATCATGAAGGCATTCACATGAAACAAAATTGAGCATACATAATCTTAGGTGTTAATCTGAATACGTAAAAACCATTAGTTTTTTTTTTTTCTTTGAAACTTAACAAACATAACATCAACTAAAACTGAAAAATTAACCCAAAGGATTTCTCTAGATTGCAACAAGTTAATGAATACCTTTGCACTGACACAGTATGGTGGATTTATTTTTATTGTACTTTTGTACAGCTATTGTGTCCAGACAGCATTCACTGTTGCCAACGGTGTAAAGTATTCAATTACTTTGATGTACATTTGGGTATAGTGGGCTGTATTGGTTTGCCAGAATTTATGCTACCATACAGCAGACCAAGGCAAATTAGCATTGACACAAACAATTCTCACTTTTCACATCAAAAAAAGATATTATATTGTCTTTGTTATGGTGAAGAAGTTGAAAAACCAGGACCTTTGAAGACTTAGAACCACCAAGTATATTAAACAAAACCTAAGATAGACAAAATAGAATAGTGAACCACATTCAACAGTGAAAATGAAAAAGAAAAGATACTGAATTACACATGCTTCTGAATTAAGCATTCCTTGAAGAGAACAAAATGAAAGCCAGTATTTCAGCTTGTATACTGGTGCTAACCAAGACTGTAGTAATTCTGCAAAGCAACCAAAGGTAGTGTTCACTCTAGCAAGACAGTTACCAGCTGAGGTGCTCACAGCTAGCAGTGCATCTACCATTATTCACATACAAGCACACAAACCCAAAGCACACAAAAATCTCTCCTGTTTAGTAAAGTTTGTTTAGCTCTTTTGTCAGTATATCCAATTAATCTAGTGGGACTGTATTATTGGCATTATCTAATTTTATTCACACTAAGTCTGTGTAACTAGTATTTGCTGATTGTTTCTAAAGAAAGGGTTAAGTCATGCTTCGGAAAATAAATAAATATATCACAGAATGAAGTCAAAACAAACTGTGATAGGTATACTATCATATTTATTAGAAGCACTAAATTAATGTTAGAAAATATATAATCTCTTCTAAGATCCCAGACACAAGATACATTAAATAGAACTCAAATCACACTGCATTTTACTTCATCTTATCTTCAAAAACAGAGATGCACAAAGAAATTTTGTTACTAATTATGTTAAGTGCATAATATAACGTCAGTGAAAAATTTGGCTATATAAGAAGCTTTAAAACTAATGACAACTCTCAGTTATAGTGCAGTCTAGACAGCATTTTGCATCAATTTTGCTAAGAGATCACATTAAATGTCACAAATACTCCGAACATCAATATAAGACATATACAAATGTCTTAAAACTCAAAGTTTAAAAATACATGTCAATGACTCAAACGGAGCAATTTTAATCTAAAAAAATATGTAATGCCTATAATAAAATATAATTATTCAACACAAGGAAGTAATAAAAACGTAGGTCTAGGGGGAATTTACTTTGTTTTTACAGAGGGATCTCTGTTACGCTTATGTACACTTTGGTGTGAGCGGCATTAATGACAATCTAACAATCTACAAATACTAAACGCTTGTTTTCCCCCTTTTCCAGATGCTACAGACCTTAACCTCCAGCTACAGCAAAACTATCTAGAATTAGGTTATGCAAATGTATTACCGTGCAGTCGTACTGATCGCAGTTTATCTTCTCTACTGACCCTCCAAAGTTTCAACTGAGCAGGTACAGCATGACCTTGGAACACTTAATTCTTTCAGGACACAAAAAGTCATGCTGAACTCAGCTTTTTATGACCATAAAAGGCATTCAAATTCTCAAAGACAACAAACAAGGGGGCTCAGATAGAAGTCTCATTTCCTAATTTCCTCACTTCTCGCTGGAAGCTAGTGTTTTCTTGTTCTCAAATATAATTAGAGACAAAAGAACTGAAATATCAGGAAAAAAATAATTATCAAAGGTGTAAAACAGCAATTATTAAGTTGCTCATTATTTTTCAGCCTACAGGTTCCACTGAAGCTATCATTAATATTTCTGTGAAAATATAGATAAGACAGTGCATATATCCCACATAAAGTAAGTTTGTACTTCATGGGAGGGATATGCCTTCATTAAAAAAAGTTGCAGACTACTGTAAGGAAATAATCAGATCTTGAAAATCTTCATGTCAGTTACGGCTATTATTAAACTCACTTAAAATCATCTTTCTTTTCCTAATTCCAACGAAGCAGAGATGATGTACTTTACTCAACTGAAAGCGTTAATTTTATTATCTGACATTGCTTGCCACAATAGTCTGGAATTTTTATTTTAATTTTTTCCTTTAGACCACTAAGGTAGAGAAAAGCTATAAAATGCAGTACTAAGCCAAACAGAAACTTACTAATCTTAACAGAACTATAAGTCTTGAGGCAAAACAAAGTTAAAGAAATACAGAATTGTAATTAGAAAACTGTAGTAAAGAAACATAAGCAGTTTTCTTACTGTAATTTGTCAGTTGTTCTAAAGTCTATATATTCTAAACTGCTTAGAAGCTCTATTATTTCTGACATTAATTTTATTATTAAATTGTATCTTAAGTCACAAACTAAATATAATTCCATATTTGTGTACAAGCAAATTCATTTTATCTGTAAGGCTTAGTTTTTCCCTAAGAATATTTCTAACATATTCACAGTATAATATATCACAGAAAATCCATATCTGTCCCACAGATCTTTGGATAGTAGCATTGCAAGACGGCAATTCATTCTGTTTAATGAGTCCATTCAATTTTATCCATATGTCCTCCAAATTCTGGTTTTTACAAATAGACTGTTCAATTGTCCATTTTGCTCTACAAAAAGCATGCAGCTTTAATCTTTCCAAATTATTCTGCAGTTCTTGAGATAAAGGACGAATCTTTTCTTTGAGTTTAGCACTAGGGAGAGAGACACTCCAAGACCTTTTCAATTTTTGTTTTCCATTAGGTGGTGGTTCTCCTTGATAGTCCAAGTTAATTGATCTGTGAACAGCCTTTGCTTGGATTAAAGTCGGACCATGTTTCATACTAGAGTGAAACTCAAGGAGATTTTTTGTGCAGTCATAATCAGGAGATCCTGTAACATATCCTGAAGGTGTAGAAAGCTGTTTCAATTCTTCCACTTCCTCACAAGAAATAACAGGTGCCTGCTTTTTTGGTTTGAGGGGAAGTCTGTGTAAATCATTTGGAAACCAGGGTGCAAATCTTGGTAACTGGCGAATAGGAAACTCCTTCACTGCTGCTTCTGCAAATTTCTGCAGTTTTATTAGATCTCTCTGATGTGGTCGATAGTGCAAGACCACTTCCATGCTTGAACAGGAGGAATCCAGTGATTCTTAGGGAAAGAGTCTCTTGATAAGGATTCTTGTATCTAGACTGAAACATCTTATTTACAAGAATTTCCTTGCCCCATGATGCAAAGATCAGTGGAAAACAGGACCTAAAGCAGAAGTATTATAAAAAAATAAGATACTACCGTATTACGACAAACATTGCTAGCATATTTTTCAAGAAAGAAAAACGTAGTAAAAATACCTGAGATATGTATCAGAACATTCTGTTTTATCTAGGCTGAACATTAGCAGCTGTATTCCATAATTACCAGTGTAACTTCAGTACACTGAACATTATCCACACGCACACTGCTTACTCAAAACAGTCCTTTTCAAGAGAACTCTTACTGTCAACATCTCATACTTGCCATCCATCACTATTCCGGTTATATTGTTGTGATGCATATGAAAAGGCACACAATAACTACTGCCTATTTTCTCAATTTAGCAGACAATTTTTTAAAAGAGTTTTCCTCCTACATATCAGCATTTTAAGCGAAGGCACATAAAGTAACTAGAAAACACATGTTACAGAAACCTTTCCCAAGACAGTACTGACTGATGCAGTAGATTCTAAAGTAAAAAAAGTTAAAAGGGAAGTGCTCTAGGCAAATTAAAGCTGCCTGCTTCCATTCTGTATCAGAACCACATATCTAGTTTTAGCCTCAAAGCTTCCACGCATTACATGCAACTATGCTTTAGTCCTTAATGAACTGACAATTTCTTAATTTATTAGACTTTTGGAATAACTGAACAACTTACTAAGTCGTCAAAGGCTTTATACTTCCATACAAAGATTGTCTTAAATGCAGGAGCGTGATGAAAGGAGAACTACAAACACTGTCATGAAACATAAGTAAAACGTGCAGAGTGTTGCTGTCCTACTTCCCACCCTTCTCCCCCTTTCCCCCTGCCCCTGTGAGGAATTTGCAATCATTTCATATTTCCTGATGGAGAGCAGTAACACAGATTATATTAAAATAATAAAATCTAGGACTGTCACTGTCAAGATTTTGTTTAATACAGTTATAATGAAAATAAATCCCCACACCTTCCCTACTTCTGCAAAACCTACAGCCTGGACTAAATTCAATAGAAAACCAGGATGGCACTGGTTTCTAATAAAAGCAAAACGATCCACCATAAAGCTTTTTGCTTTTAATTAATTATTATCGAAACCCATTTGGCAGTTACTGATGTTTCATGTTCTTATGTTTTTGCCTTTATTGCATGTGTGTATATGTATTTGAAAAGAGCTTGTTGAGCTTTGAGTTATGGTTAACAGATTTTACTATCACATGGAGACACTGTTAAAAAACTTTGTCCAGGAGAGTTTTAAAACGAGAAAATGGTCTCTGAAATTACTCATACCTGCACTACTTTATCCATTTCACTGATCTAGAACACTTGCAGAGGTGAGATTCTAACCAGCTCTTTATTACACGAAAATAACTAGCAGCATTTATAATTCAGAAATTATCACATTCTTCATAGGGCTCTCTTGATTTTGGAGAGAAATTTACATTAATTTTGGAGGCATGCAAGTGACCTAGACAATTGTATTTTCACTCTTCGTGATCCCTGAATCAAGGAGGTAAACCTCGTAGTTGCACATTAAGCATGAGGTAAAAAGGGCAAAAGCCATCCAAAGGGAAATCACGGAATCAACGGTGTTGGAAAAGACGTCTGAGATCATGGAATCCAACGTAAAACCGAACACCACCTTATTAAATACACCATGGCATCAAGTGCCACGTCCAGTCTTTCCTTAAACACTTTCCGGGACGGAGACTCCATCACCTCCCAGGGCAGCCTATGCCAATGTCTATATCACCCTTCCGGCGAAGGAAACCCTCCTAACGCACAGCCTAAACCTCCCCTGACGCAGTTTAAGATTGTGTCCTCTGGTCCTGAAAACAAATAAACAAACAAACAAACAAACAAACAAACAAACAAACAAAAGAGGCAGCAGGGGAACTGGAAATTTAACTGAACGCTTTCTTTGAAGTCTTACGCAAAGCACTGACACAGACGGGCAGGCGGCGCTGAGCCCCTCACGCCAGGCGCACACCCTGCGGTGTGCGGGGCACGGCAGAGCAGCCCCCACCGCTGCCTTATGCCCTCGGGCACCGAGCGCCGCAGGCCCCGAGAGCCGGGCCGCTCCCTGTTCCACCTCCATCTAAACCAGGAGGAGAAACACCCTCGGCTGCGGGTCAGACACGCTGTTTCACCACCGAATCAGGGCCGGGCGTGCGTGAATCGGTGGAACCGCACGGTCGGTACCTTTCAGAGCCAGCAAATGCTCCTGCTTGGGCTGGTTGACGTCCATGGTCTTCACCCGCGGGATGGCCGACGGAGCGGGAGGAGCCGCGCAGACTGCGGCGGCAGCAGGCACGGCCGTCCCAGGCTGCAGCGCGGCGGGAGGGACTACAGCCCCCAGGGCTCCGCGGGCGGAGGAGGCGGGGCACCGCCTCCTGCGCCTGCCTGGGCGTCTGTGGGGCACGGTGGGAGTCGTAGTTTTGCTGGGCGGTGCGCGCGCCCGTGGCGGTTCCTCGCTCCTTCCTGCGGAGCTGCTCCGCTCCGCCCTCCCCGAGATGGCGGCCCTGGCTATAAACAAGGCCGGGCCGGAGAGTGGCCGCGGGCCTGGCGGTGGTGGTGGCGGTCGTAGCCCGGCGGGTGCTGCGGTGAAGGTGAGGCGGCAGCTCGGCCCAGCTCCTGTGGTGTGGCGGGCCCCACCGAGGACGGGGCGCGGGAGGCCTGTGGTATAGGATATGTCCCCTGGAGTCCCGGGCTTATGGATGGGTTTGGTTTTTTTTTCTTTTTATGTAACCAGTTTTATATAACCTTTTTAATATAATTAGTTTTGCTTTTCGTTTATAGCTTGAGATGTTTCGGCCCACAACTGTTTGCTCGCACTAGCTCGGTGCTGCGTTTGTAGCTTGCTAAGTGGCTCACTTGGTACGACTGACCTCTTTATGAGCATCAGCTGCGAGGGGAAACTCCACCGGCCAACCCTCTGCTCTGGCAGGGTCTTGCTGGCCGCTTCCATTTCCTGCCAGGATGTTTCTGCTGGTTATGCTTCTTGACCAGTAGGCTTGTCTTGTGGCAGTGTATTAAATGAAGTGAGTAGGGATTAGTGGTGGTCAGGCAGGATGCTGAGGAGCTAAAATGTTCTGTTTGTGTCTAATGATTTATTTACTTTTAAAAAATCGGTAGTATGATCGTTAGTTGTATGCATAAAGCAAAATCACTGACTCAACTTATCTGCTGAGCATGCATGATTGCTTGAACGTCTGTAAAATAAACTGTCGTATAGCTTACTGTGTGAAGTTTTGCTTTTTTATTAGCTCAAAACCAAATGTGGTATTTTTTAACTTACAGGTTCTTGAGTGTGGGGTCTGTGAAGATGTATTTTCTTTGCAAGGAGACAAAGTTCCCCGGCTGCTTTTGTGTGGCCATACTGTCTGCCATGACTGTCTTACCCGGCTTCCCCTCCACGGCAGAGCAGTTCGTTGTCCTTTTGATCGACAAGTTACTGAACTAGGTAAGAAAATAGAAGTGTGATGTTTTTGAAACCTGTCAGTCAAGGATATCTAGAAGATAATACTAGATATAATTTCTTAGTGCTCCACTTAGTGATAGTATTTCCAAGTAATGAATGTGCAGTAAGAACAAGAAAGTAAAGATGTTGCCTTCATGTTCTTGAGCCTGGGCTCACACACTTTATACCTGGGCATCTTCTTGTATACCTATATTTACAAAGAGACTACTCTATTTAATGTTCCTGTGTAAGGGTTCCTGAATGAGTATTAGTTTCCTATTGTCCTAAACACTAAACCCATGCAATTGAACAGGTAACTTTTTTGACAAACACATTTGTCTGACTTCATGATGACGTGATCTAGAGGGAAGGATCAGTGATAACAAACCTGTTTTTTACGATGTTAGTGTTAGTGACTTCTATACATGCAATAATTGATAATGGCAGGCTATTAACAGGAATTCCCTTACTCTAAGAATGTCTGCACATGGTTTTTGAAGGGATAAGATAAGCTTTTTTCTTACAGTAGAAGTTTATTTTTGACAAAAGATGGCACATACGTATAATTTCTCCAGAATAAGAATTACCTAGTCAATATGGGGCCATAGAAAAGACAAATTATCAGAGTAAGCTGTAACAAAAAGAACTTATTAATAGAACTGGCTCCAGCAGTTTTGAATTGCACTGGAGGAAAAAGAAACCTGTTGAAAGGACAGTCTTTAGGAAAGGACATCTGTAATCTGGTAAACCATGAAAGAAATGTTTAAGTATCAAATTCACTTGACATTGCAGTATGAGAATCTGCGAGGAATATTAAGGCACTCTGCAGGATGTTCTTGTGATGATAGAAATCAGGAAAAGAAATATCAGTCTTGTATGAAAGAGGGGTTTGTTTTCTGAGGAGAGGGAGATGATAAAGTATGAGAATCATGAATGATTGCCAGTCTAGTAGAGTGGCTAAAAAAGTAATGGTTTGTTTGACTTCTTATCTGTGACTGTACAGCTACACAAGATTTCTTAAACTATGCTTTTAGAGGGAGAATATTAGACTACAACGTGCAGTCCTGTTGTTATGAAACATTTTTGTCCAAGACCACTGCATTTTTTATTGTGATGGGGAACTTGTTGCTTCTTAGTTTTTATTATGCAATTTTTCCCAGGCATCTGAAAAGATCCTATCATATTTTTTTGGTGTGCTTAACGTTTGGTGAAAAGGAAGCTTTACAAAAGCATTTACAATTCTTTGGGTTTTTTGTCTTTCTGAGGAGCTTTTGATGAAATGCAGTGAAATGTTAATAAACCTCCAAGTCCCCTACAGCTAGGAAGAAGGACGAAAAGCTTCAGGATCCTTACATATTGAAGATAACAGAGTTGCATCCTGCTGTCTAACACTAGAAAGAAGAAGGATGCACTGTGATCAACAGTTTCTCACAGAAGTAATTGGTAGAAAATCGTTGCAAAACAGCTTGAAAATAAAAATACTTCTTGGTGATTAAAAGTTCTGCCTGGTGATCTGAGGCAGGGGAACGTCATAGGCACTTTTAGTCTTTTCATATCCAACGGTCTTGAGACATATTACTGGTTCCAGGATATAAAACCAGGATATTTTGTAGAGTGCCGCTCATCATGGACCCTCTTTGAGACATCTGTACGTTTGCTACCTTGCTCTACTCACCTAGTAGCTGCTGCTATTGGTTAAACTTGCTGCACTTGTAGTTCTGTTTTGTTCTAGAGCTTTGGAGTAGGCAGGGACAACTCAGAGCCCAGGGGAACTTTTCATACTTCCATCCATTTGAGGATAGAAGGCGAGCTCCATGTTCACCCCATTGCCACTCTACCATTTAATGAAATAATGTTCTCTAGTCTAAGAGAGCTGTTTAGTATGTAAATCATGATTATAAGACCACTGCCAAGAGAAAATTCTGTTGAAAGAAAAGCTGTAAAATTAGTACATAAAGCTCCCCGTGCTGAACACAGTTTCTTAATCAGAAATTATGTATTTTATGGAGATGTTTAGCTGGTCTACAATAACCTGTGATTACTTTTTTTTCCTTTGCTCTTATTACTAAAGCAATTAATACTGTATTTATCCAAGTTTTCCTATGTAATCTTGGGAACTTTTTGAAATAAATACTGGAGGATCTGTATATGGGTAGATGTGGCTGTACTTTTTTGGAACTGGACTCTTGACTTAAATTTACGGGGCTGTCTCTTCTTTCTGTATGTAACTGTATGTGAAATCAGGGTTAGAAGTACTTTGTGAGTCAGATTTTTTGGAAATACGTGTTCTGCAACTGAAAATTGAAATGTTGTTTACATGCTTAGCAAAACGGTGCCGTGTAAAAGTTTGTTTGATTTTCAAAATTTTAAAGTCATATATTTTGAAGATTGTTGATTCAGACAGTTTATATGGGGGAAAATCCAATAAGTGGTGTCTGTGGAAAAAGAGGCTCCTCTCAAAGATTTTCCTTAAAGTATGTCAATTTGGGAGAAAAGGCAAATAATTTCCTGCAAACTGTTTTCTCTCTTCCCATGTTGAATTACTGGTTATTTTTGACTGGATTTTTCTGGTTTTTTGTTTTTTTGTTTTTTTTTTTTTTTTCCTGTTGGGTTCTGGCTTTTTTTTAATTAATACACTGACTGGGGTATTTTTATGAAAAATGTGCTTACTCTACAGCTTTGGAGTTTCTCTCTATCTATCATTACAGCAGAACTGAAATTATTTTCTATCATTAAAACTTGTTCACAGAAAAATGCAGGTAGTGGCATCCTTCATGTAATCCATCTGATTGGTGTTGCTCGCATTTACACATGCCTTTGCTAGTGTTGGAGTGCCAAGCCGAAACTTAAAAATACTGTTCAAGAAAAGGCAGTTAAACATTCTCTTAAATCTGTTTACATATTTAGACAAAAGCTTTTCCTTTATCCCTTTCATTATTTATACTTTTGCAGTCAAAATTCATGCTTTTGAAATTGACATTTGTATTGTTAACTGGAGTCAGTCTTAATAGCTTTGCTCTGTCACTATCTCATTCCTGACTGACAGATTTCCTGCTATTCATATCTTCTCATTGTGAGATGGCAGTCAGAATGTGTAATGATTTTTGTAATGGGCACAACTATTCTTTGTAGGCACAAGGATGAGATCACTAGACTCTCTTACATTCGTGACCAAAGCAGAATTTGAGGTAAAGTCCAAGAGAGTAAATGGATGTATTTCCACAACTCATCTTTTAATGTTTATAAATGTAAAATAAATACTTGATCAGTTGTGTTGAAAATGTGTAAGTCAAGTACCTAAAATTTTTGTAGGTAGATTTAGAGTAAAAATGAGCAAGGTCCCATTTTTGCAAATACATAAACTTTGATAGATACCAGTGAAATGAGACATGGGTTTTTTTAACGAGAATGGATATTTCTGACAAGGGAATCCACCTAGCTGATCAGGGGAAGCCAGTTGATGTGATCTTTTTGATTTCAGTTAAGTTTTGGTACTGTCTCTCTCAGTGTCCTGCTGGACAAAAGGTCCAGCACACGGCTGGATAAAGACATCGTGTGATGGGAGAGCAGCTGGCTCATGGGTCAGACACAAGGGGTGACAGTGAATGGGGTGACATCAGCATGGGGACCTGTCACTAG